TTGTTTTCTTTCCGTTTCACTATGTAATTACCATGCAACAATAACAAAAGTGACATGTTTGAAGAACAGATAAAATGCTGTAAATTGGCCAGTAATGGTGATATTTCCTCATCTTCTGAAAAACCCATTTATTCTCTCTCTCAACAAATCAAGGCATTGTCAGCCCATACTCATCTTGTGGCCAGAGGGGCTCCACCAATTTCTGGATGTAAGTGAGTTCTGGAATGCAGATGAGGCCAACTAACGAAGGCTTTCAGTGCAGGCAGCTGGTCTTTGCTTGCCTCAATTTCTAAATCATCCATAATGGGGCCAAGACCTCCCAAGCACTAAAAAGAGCGAGCTGACATGCTGGACAAACTGTTAATTTTTTCCTGAAGAAGCTGCTATATTGCACATCTGTCACTGCAGCACAGACAATTACTCACTGAGTCGGGGAAAAAAATCTGCCGCTTGTTTCTAGCTGAGTTGTTAAGGGACCTAATGGAGAAATACAACGGCGTGGGAGTCAAAACATGCTGGTTTCCTGTGTGCTTGGCAATTGTATCCTCATTTTGGAAGGCTGTCCTGTGATATTAAAATACATGAAGCAGACTTAAGATGTGCTTAAAAAAACAGGAAAGGAATTAGAAGAGGTACATTAAAAGGATAGGTGCATGAAGATGTGGGATGATCAAGAACCAAGCCCTACAGATTAGAGACCACTGACTGTACTTTTTGCTGAGAACCTAAAGACACTGTATACAGCCAATGTATTAGAAATACTGTGATTTTGCACTTTATAAATTTCTCACCTTTAACGTGTGCTCCCAAATGCTTCACATCTAAAAATCATTTTATGAATTTCATGCCTCGTATATGTAACGTGGATTACCTATATTGTTTCCGTAATGAATTATAGTCATCAGCGAGGTTCTTTAGAATCCCAGATTAGCCACAGTCACCTAACAGAAATGTTTATTTATTTCTAAACTCATTTGCTTATCATAATGATGAAATTCTGGCATTTGAAGAAATTCACTTCAATAATGGATGGAAGAATTTGTTTGCTTTTGGAAAGCATATATCGAGTTAGTACACTATTTCTCATTCTTTCTGTTTTTATTAAAGAATATTGCTTTTAGGAAGAAATGAATATTTATTAGAAATTTAACAGGAAGATGCAAACAGAAAGTAGTTGTGACTGTTTTCCTTTCACTTGGGATACTATAATAATAGTCTTATCTCTACAATCTTATGGCTGAAAAATCAAGCATTATACACACACACTCTTAAAATACTAGCAATTTATTCTGAAAGTTCAAACGAAGAAAAAAACAATCTAAAGACACACAAAACACAGCCTTCAATTGTTACCTAACTTCATCCTTGAAAAATTAAGGAATAAACACAGGACATTCTGATATTGCAACAGCAGAGAGGTCTGTAGATCTGAGAATGATTTAAACTGTCTGACAATTCAAAGACAGGAGACAACTCTAATGTACAGATAAAACTAAAAGTGGCAATAGTAGATCATACTCCTGGCAGTTAATGGCACTGACTCGCTAGAGACAAATCTGGATCTACTTAAAGTGTCAGGTGTGTAAAGTAATGAGTCTTTGCTTAGTAGGAACCCAGCAGAAGGAGCCTTCATGGTCCACTTGTCAGTTGAGTATATATTACTGCAAGCCTGTTAAATAAATGAGTATTTAATACCTATTGGATTAAAAAAAATCTACTTACTTTAACAACTCTACTCAGTTTCTTGGGAGAAAAGATCAAATTTAATCAACATAAATAGTGAAATGCCTCTTATAGCAAACAAAACTCAAACAAAACTCAACACTTTAATGAATGTTATAACACATTTAAAATATCCAAGCAGGTTTATAAGAGGGAAAACTTTCCAGAAGGAAATGGAGTGACTATAATATTTGACTATGACTAATACTTTAAGTAGTTAGAGAGCAAATCTGTACTTTGCTATATTATTAACAGAATCATAGAATCCATGAATGGAAAGAGACCTGAAGCCAGTTAGTCTGCCCGGATTCAGAGAAAACAAATACAAACAAGAAAATGTGGTAGAACAGCTCACAATTAGCTATGGATAAATTTGTGAGTCAAATATATATACCAATTTTTT